AACACTTACACTTACATGTCATCGGTCAGAGCTTAGTCATGTGGTCACATCTTTCTAGAAAATAAGCTGAGAAAGCAATCTTCTATCCACATGGCCAGGCCACCAGATAAACAGTAGAGGCTTTATCTGAAAGGCAGAAGGTGAGGAAGAACATATCTCTGCTGTGGGCACTGATTAAATGCCAAACTGTGTGGTGTAGAAACTCAGTGGAAAAGAGACCTAGGATCACTGTTGTAACTCATTCAAAAATGACTTTCTGAAAGCCAGGCAAGGTGGCTCATGCCTGTAATCCTAGCACTCTGGGAGGCTAAGGCAGGTGGAGTTTGAAACCAGCCTAAGCCAGAGCAAAATCTTTTCTCTAAAAAATAGCCAGGTGTTGTGGTGGGTGCCTGTGGTCCCAGTGGAGACTGAGGAAAGAGAATCGCTGAAGCCCAAGAGTTTGAGGTTGCTATGAGCCGTGATGCCACAGCTTTCTACCCAGAGCAACAAAGTGAGAGACTCTGTCTCAAAAAAATAAGACTTTCTGAGTGAGGTGTCACTGGTTCTGGATTTTGCAAAATGATTAGACTTTTGGTAGATAAATAGAGAAGGAAAGGTGTGGTGGTGAATTCAAGTGAAATGAAGAGATGGGCTTAGCTTCTGGGTGACTTAGCATGATGGAGGCTCTGAATACCCATTTGAGCCTGGCCATGGTCTGATGGGTGGCGGAAATCTGTTTATGAATGTTGAATGTGGGTACCAAGCAGGCAGCAGAGGCCATGAGGACTTCAGTCCCTTAAAGCAGAGTATGGAGGCTGTTTGGCAGGTGATCTAGAGGCAGAGATCAGAGTCTTTCTAGAGTATGTAGCTAATAACCCATAAAATCTTTCCAGGGCCCTATCACCCTTACCATTAACTCCTAGCCCTCTAGAAGTGCCTTTAAGGCTCAGTGGCATCTGGGTCCTGCTTTTGTTTCTGCCCCTTCTAATGCACAGTGCTCCAGGCAGGGGGGCACATCTTCCTGCTCCTTGTGCCAGGCACAATCTCTCTCTTGCCTCTAGGCTTTCATATAGACTATTCCTTCTTCCTCCCTCTCCATTCAAGCCATCTAGCTTCCTCCTCCTCTTTTTTGTTTGTTTGTTTGTTTTTGAGACAGAATCTCACTCTCTGACACCCTAGATTGGGTGCCATGGCATCATAGCTCACATCAACCTCAAACTCCTGGGCTCAACCGGATCCTCTTGCCTCAGCCTTCCCAGTAGCTGGAACTACAGGCACCCACCACAATGCCTGGCACGTTTTTCTACTTTTAGTAGATAGTGTCTCATTCTTGCTCAGGCTTGTTTTGAGCTCCTAAGCTCAAGCAATCCACCTGCCTCAGCCTCCCAGAGTGCTAGGATTACAGGTGTGAGCCACTACACCCAGCCCCCTTTCCTCTTGGTTTAGATTTCAGTTGGGATACCATACTTTTAGGAAACTTCCTTAATCCCCAAGTCTGGGATAAGAGTCTTTTCTACACGCTCTGGACCCATTCTATTGATAATGCTGAGTCTCCTCTTTCATTAGAACACGAGGGCAAGCAGCCCTTCTGTTTTGTTCTCTGTTGTATCCAGTGGCCAGCATGGGGCCTGGCCCAGATAGGAGCTTAGGAAATGTTGAAGAAATTGGCCTTGAGGATCAGGAGTGGTGGCTTATACCTGTAATCCCAATGCTTTGGCAGGCTGAGGTAGAATGATTGCCTGAGGCTAGGAGTTTGAGACTAGCCTTGGCAACATATCAAGACCCCCGTATCTACAAAAAACCAGAAAGAATTAGCTGGACGTGGTAGTTGGTACCCAGCTACTTGGGAAGCTGAGGCAGAAGGATGGCTTGAGCCCAAGCATTCGAGATTGCAGTGAGCTAGGCTGATGCCATTGCACTCCAACCTGGGTGACAGAGCAAGACCATCTCTTTAAAAAAAAAAAAAAAAAAAATTGGCGCCTTGATCTGATAAGAGGCAGAGAGTTGTTCTAGGAGGAAGTGGGATTCACAGAGAAAAACCGCAGTGAAAGAGCTCTTCACAGGCAGGTGACTGCATTGTCATGGCTCTGGTCTCCTGTCTAGGAGAAGGGATGGGGCACCTGAGTCTCGGCTTCCTGTCAAGGATCTGCCCCAGAGCAGAGCTACACAGGTGGCCATGGGTTGGGGCAGAGAATGAGGCAGCCCTGAGAAGGCAGTAACCCCCGCCCCCCAGACTCCTTTATGAGTTCTATTGCCTCAACTGATCTCTCCCTCTGTACTCCTCTGTGCTCAGCAGGTCCAGGACATACAGCCCATCCTGAGACCCTTACCACACTCAGAGACCAGGGAGGTAAGAGGGAGGAGGGGCCGGCAGAGTGGCCTGGGGTCAGGCCCCTTTCTGTTTGGATCCCCAGCCTCCTGGTCCTTTCTTCTTGGCCTTTCAGATCCCTTTTGAGAAGAACTGTGGGGAGGACAAGAAGTGTGAGACAAACCTGCAGCTGTCCTTCTCCCCTGCCAGGTCTGTAAGGTGTCACCCCAGCTTCCTGTCCACTGCTGTGTAGTCTTGAGGCAGCCCCTGTGTGCTGGAAAGAACGCTGGGCTTAGAGTCAAAAGACCCTCTCTCCACTCAGCAGCTGTGTCATCTGGGGATACCACTTCCCTCTCAGGGCCTTAGTTTCCTTTTCTGAGAAAAGGGGAATCTAAAACTTAATGCCTGAGCATATTTTTTCTGGCCTACCAGATGCCTCAGTTTGGAAATTCCTCACTGTGATCTTGCTCCATCTCAATCTCATAACTTTTCCCCATCTTCCCTCCAGATCCAGAGCCCTGCGTCTGACCCCTTCTGCCAGCCTCTCTGTGGAGCTGACACTGAGTAACTTGGCAGAAGATGCTTACTGGGTCCAGCTAGACCTGGTCTTCCCCGAGGGACTCTCCTTCCGCAAAGTGGAGATGCTCAAGGTGAGCAGGAAGGCAGGACGCTTGTAGGGGGCTGTTTCTCTGGCTCCAGCTCCCTTCTCTGAGCCCCAGGTGGCAAGGACGGCTGGAACACATGGGCAGCAGCAGGCAAGCAGGGGCCTTAGAGTGACGTCTGGGTTCTCAGCCTGATGGTCACCCTCAAGCTATATGATCTGAGCTATAAGGTTCACCCTCTTTGGGTCTCAGATTCTACAACCAAATAGTGAGGCTAGGGACACTCAGCAGCTTAGTGCAAGAGTTCTGTGAAACGGAGCGAGTGTGTGAAAGAGGCCCCCACACCAAGCTCAGGCGCACTTGGCAACCCAGATGTGCACGAGGAGTGAGATGGATCACCTCCCTCATGAGGTGGCCAGAATTTCTGAGGGATGGCCTGAGCTATGTGAAATATAGTTTTGGTTTTAAAGTTAGCATTATAAAAGTAATACATGATCACCACAGAATCTTGGAAATTACAGAGAAGTTTAAAGAAGACAGTCACCCATACTTCTTCAACTCAGCAGTCACTACTTTTTGTTTCTCTTAAAGCCCTGACCACAACAAAGCAATTACTACTTCCAACTTCGTGGTATTTACCCTACTTAATTTTCTTTATTTAGTTATATAGATTTATATTATCTATTTATTTATACACATTAAATTATGTATTCTACATTCATGTTAGGTATTTGGTATTTTGCTCTCTGTATGGTTATTTTTCCTGAAAAATATCTTTGTGTGGTAAAAATGTATGTAGTATAAAGATAACATTTTCATCATTCTTTTTTTTTCTTTTGAGAGAGAGAGAGGCTCACTCTGTTGACCCAGGCTAGAGTGCTATGATGTCATAGCTCACAGCAACCTCAAACTTCCAGGTTCAAGCAATTCTCTTGCCTCAGCCTCCCAAGAAGCTGGGCCTACAGGGGTGGACCACCATGCCCAGAACACTTTTTATTTTCTATTTTTAGTAGAGATAGGGTCTTGCTCAGGCTGGTCTTGAACTCCTAAGCTCAAGCAATCCACTTGCCTCGACCTCCCAGAGTGCTCGGATTACAGGTATGAGCCACCTTGCCCAGCCCATTTTCATCATTCTTAAGCTTACATTTCAGTGGCATTGAATGCATTCATAGTGTTATACAACCATCATCACTATCTATTTCTAGAACTTTTCCATCATCTCAAACAGAAGCTGCATGCTACTCTATTAATAGCTGCTCTATTAAGTAGTTTCTCCCCATTCCCCACCCCTTCCACTCCTGGTAATCTCTAAGCTGCTTTCTAGGTCTCTGAATTTGCCTATTCTAGATATTTTATGTAATATTTGTTGTTTATGTTTGGCTTATTTTATGTAGCACAATGTTTTTGAGTTTCATTCATGTGGTCGTGTGTATATGAATTTTCTTTCTTTTTAAGGTTGAATAATATTTATTTCATATACCACCTTTTATCAGTCCATTCATTTGTCTATGGACACATAAATTAATCTTATACAGAAACATTAAATGCTTAATCCCCTAACAGAGGATTAAGAATTTGAGATCTGGCACTCTGGGAAGCTGAGGCCAGTGGATTGCTTGAGCTCAGGCACCCACCTAAGCAAGAGCAAAACCCTGTCTCTAAAAATAGCCAGGTACTGGGTGGCGCCTGTGGCTCAAGGAGCAGGGTGCTGGCCCCATATGCCAAGGGTGGTGGGTTCAAACCTAGCCCTGGCCAAAAAAAAAAAAATAGCCAAGTGTTGTGCTCATTGCCTTTAGTCCCAGCTACTTAGGAGGTTGAAGCAAGAGAATCACTTCAGCCAAAAAGTTTGAGGTTGCTGTGAGCTATGACAACACAGCACAAGACTGTCTCTGGTGACAAAGTAAGACTCTGTCTCAAAAAAAAAAAAAAAAAATATGGGTGGCGCCTATGGTTCAGTGGATAGGGCGCCAGCCCCATATATTGAGGGTGGCGGGTTCAAACCCAGCCCCAGACAAACTGCAACAAAAAAATAGATGGGCATTGTGGTGGGCACCTGTAGGAGTCCCAGCTACTTGGGAGGCTGAGGCAAGAGAATCACCTAGGCCCAGGAGTTGGATGTTGCTGTGAGCTGTGTAATGCCATAGACTCTACTGAGGGCAATAAGGTGAGACTCTGTCTCTACAAAAAAAAAAAGAGAGAGAGAGAGAGAGATCTGGTGTCAAACAGTTCTGTATTCAAGTTCTTACCTGATCCCTGCATAACCCAGTTGTGAGGCCTTGGGGAAGTCACTTAATCTCTGTCTCTATTTCCTTGTCTGACTGAAATCTGTCCTGCACAAGATTGTGATGAAGACAAATAGTTTAATAATGCTTTGCCCAGGCTCGGCACCCGTAGCACAGTGGTTACAGTGTCAGCCACATACACCGAGGCTGGCAGGTTCAAACCTGGCCCAGACCTGCTAAACAACAAAGGCAACTGCAACAAAAAAATAGCTGGGCATTGTGTCAGGTGCCTGTAGTCCCAGGTACTTGGGAGGCTGAGGCAAGAGAATCGCTTAAGCCCAAGAGTTTGAGGTTGCTATGAGCTGTGACGCTACAGCACTCTACTGAAGGCAGCATAGTAAGACTCTGTCTCAAAAAATAATAATAATGTTTTGTCCGGGATCAAGTTCATTTTTTAAGGATTGTTCAGTATACAGAGGTAGCAGCACATTTAATTTAATTAATTAATTTATTTATTTAGAGACAGAGTCTCACTATGTCACCCTCAGTGCAGTGCCATGGTGTCACAGCTCACAGCAACCTCCAACTCTGGGGCTTAAGTGATTCTTTTGCTTCAGCCTCCCAAGTAGCCGGGACTACAGGCACCTGTCACAACGCCAGGCTATGTTTTTGTTGCGGTGTGCTATAGGTGCCGAGCCATTTTATTTTATTTTATTTTATTCAGCAGCACATATTAAAGATTTCACAGTGTTCTCTCCTTTGATTGTACAGTTCACTGAACCTTCCTATCTCTTTGAACTGTTTGACCACTTTAGTTTTTTACTATTATTAATGGTGTTGCAGTGACCATCTTTATACTAAACCTCTATCTACACCCCTGATACTTTGGCCTTGAGTCTCTGAAATCAAGCTGTGGCAGGGACAAAGCCCTGAAGGAGGTGGGCCCTGAGGGGTGACAGCCCCTGGGGGAACCCTTGGCCTTGCCCAACAATGAGCCTGTTCTCTGTCCTCCCACTCCCAGCCTCACAGCCAGATACCTGTAGTCTGCGAGGAACACCCCGAGGTGTCCAAGAATCTGTCCAAGAAGCTCTCTTGCAACGTGAGCTCTCCCATCTTTAAAGCAGGCAGCTCGGTGAGTGTGTCAGGTCCCTTGGAACTAAACAGCCAAGGGGCTATGGGCTGGTGGATGGGAGGGAACTCTTGGCTCTGGGGAAGGGAGCAGGTGATTGTCAAGAGAAGGAAATGGATGAGGGGCTGTTTTGTGTCATGTTTGAGAGTCTGGACTTTGGAATCAGACAAACCTAGAATTGGGTTATTCATATGTGTCCTTATACACATGAATTAACCTTTTGGAGCCTCAGTTTCCTCATCTGTACAAGGGGAATACACATCTCGCCCAGTGTTTGCAGTATAGGGAGCATTTGATAAGGGCCTCTGAGATTATGGGGATTTAGGGGGTGCCGAGGCTGTCCCTGAACCCTCATCTTCATTCTCCTCGCCTTCTCTGCCAGGTTGTTATCCAGGTGATGTTTAACATGCTGCTGAACAGTTCCTGGGGGGACTTGGTCGTGCTGCATGCCAGTGTGAAATGGTGAGCAGGGCTCAGGCAGGCCCCACCAGCATCTCTGCCCTGTCTCAGCCTGCCACGCAGACCTGGCCCAGCCCACCTCCTAACACTGCCCTCTACCTTGCCCCAATGCAGTGACAATGAGGATTCAGGCCTCCTGAAGGACAACTCGGCCACTATCAGCATCCCAGTCCTGTATCCTGTCAACATCCTCATCGAGGAGTGAGTCCTCCCCAGCTGATGGCAAGCCCCTCTGCTCCCTCCTCTGCCTCTCACCCAGGGCCTCTCCTTGTTACCCAGGGCTCTCCTTCTGAGCCTCCTCCCTTTCCTAGTCTCACACACACACACACACACACACACACACACACACTGGTAATTAGAACTGATTCCAGCCACAACCCCTGCAGTTTTCAACACTTCAAAGAGTGAGGGCCCTTTAAGAGCTCTAAGCCTTCACTGATGGAAGGAAAGGCTCATTGGATGCTGGCCTTGATGTTAGATGCTGACCCAGCTGCACTGCCCAGATGCTGGCTTTCCCTGGGACCTTTGACACTTCTCTGAGGCAGCTATGCCCCTCTCATTTCACTAAGGAACAAACTGAGGCAGAGAAGACAGATACTTGCCCAAGGTCATATAGCTACAAGTGCTGAAGCCAAGGTCAGCAACTGACTCCAAAGCCCTAGCCAAACTCTCTATTTTTCTTTTGGTTACAGTTTTGGCAGGGGCCAGGTTCGAACCTGCCACCCTTGGTATATTGGGCCGTCACCCTACACTGAGTCATAGGCACTGCCCCCAAACTCTTGACTGGGGCCAGAAATGCTAAAAGAAATAGGAGAAAATGTATCAAAATGGCCTTGTTTTTGGAGAGCTTACAGTCAAGTTGGAAAGACCAAACTCATGTACACACAGTCAGTGAATCTCAGGACATTGTGGCAGGAAGGGCCCATAGGGATTGCTAGTTGAGTTTTCTTGTTTGTAGGGAGAAAAAACTAGAAAATAGAGTGACTTTTTCAAATTGGCTCAGTGAATTAAGGACAAGGACAGTGGCTGAGCCCAGGTCTCCAGTGCTTTTGAACATGAAGGCAGGAGAGGAAGCAGAGGGTTAGCCATTGGCTAATGTGGTTATCTAGGAGAAGAACTAGGCCCAGAGGACAGCGCAGACTCTGGTGAGGTAGCACATAGTGGGAAAGACACAGCCACCAAGGCACACCACTCTTGGCTCTAGCCCTGTCCTTCTACTGCAGGGCTTTGGGCAAGAGGCTAACCCCTTCCAGGAGCCTTAGTTTCCCAGGGAAACATAAGGCTGTTATGAGGGTTGAACCATGTGGTCTCTTGGAACAGTGGCTGGCAACCCAGCGTTCCCTGGAGTCAAGGATGCTTCTCCTCAACCTTCCATCTCTGCTCTTCTCTCTCCACAGCCACAAAAACTCCACACTTCATATCAGTTTCACCCCTAAAGGTCCCAAGATCCAGGAATTCAAGCACATCTACCAGGTATGATCCCCAGTATGAAAGGTCCTTCTTAGTCACACATTCATTCAGTATGTTCTAAGGACTGAGAATACAGATGCCAAATAGACATGGTCCCCATGGTCCCCATCAGGTCTAGCACTCCACCTAGTTGGATGAGGCTTTCTCTGTAGTATCACAGGCTGTCCCCTGAGTCTGAGGTTTCCCTAGAGGAAAACTCTGAGGGAGGAATGGGCATTGACCGAGGCAAGAGCATTTTCACTTCACTTTGGAAGATAACTATAGAATACTACCATATAGCATAGCTCAGCGAAGTTCAGTGTAGTGTAGTGTAACTAAGAGTATAATTGCTCCTCTCAAAACTTTGGTTTCAATATATTCTAAACCAAATTTTTCATCTTCCCTAAGCCACATCTCTTCTGACTTCCTTCAAGTCCATTGTTTGTTTCCCTGCCATCTTTTCCTTGAGAACCTTTGCTTGAGGTTCAGTGCCCATAGCTCAGTGGTTAGGGCACCAGCCACATAACACCAGGGTTGGTGGGTCCAAACCCGGCCTAGGCCTGCCAAACAACAACGACAACTATAACAACAACAACAAAAATAGCCAGGCATTGTGTGTTGGGCACCTGTAGTCCCAGTGACTTGGAAGGCTAAGGTAAGAAAATCCCTTAAGTACAAGAGTTTGCGGTTGCTACAAGCTGTGACATCATGGCACTCTATGGAAGACGACATAGTGAAATTCTCTCAAAACAAAACAAACAAACAAGAAATCTTTTGCTTGAGCTACTCTCCTAGGTTAGATACTTTGCAAGGAATGAATTTCTCCTTCCTCCTGCCTGCTAAGCTGCCTCTCCATGTCCTGTTGTCCACATCTCATTCTCTCTTAGGCTCCTGCTACTACTCAGACCTAGTCTACAAACTGTTATGTCGAGACAAGCTGCCATCTTGGACCATCATTCTCCTTTCCTATCTTCTTTTATTCCATGCCGCAGTGAGTGGACCTCCCTGGAGCCATGACTCCCCATTGTCTGGCCAATGATGCCCTAACTTCTCACTCTAGGCCTTCTGGGCCCCAGTCTGGTTCCAAGCTTCCTTTCCAGCCTTGTCTCCTTTCCAGGTATCCCACCCTCCAGCCACATCCCATTCTCCTGGTGCTGTCCCACTTCCCTGCATCTTCTCTTTCCAGATGCCCTCTCTCACCTTCACTGCTCAAAATTCTTTATTTCACAAGTTAAATGCAAATGCTGCCTCTGACATTAGGCCTTTTTACTTTAACAGATATTTTAAGTGTCCACAAATATTTGTGGAATAAACAGTAGACCCCTCAAATCAGATCTACATGTCCTTGCTTGACTTCCCTGAGACATTATTGGTGCACTTTTTTCTCTTATACATGTCTAGGTCTCTTTTTATATAAAAGGTACTCAGGAAATATTTCTTAACTCAATGTAGTTGCCAAAATGAGTCTTTGCCAACCTGCATTATGCAAATAAAATTTTTGCATCTGTTCTTGTTAAATATCATTCACTCATTCAAAAACTTACTTTTTTGAAGGCTTATCATGTGCTAAGTATTATGTCAAGCAATAGGGGATTGGAGGTGAGATAAGACAGAGTCCCTGTCCCCAGGAAGCTCATAGTCTAGTGGAGATACAGACACACAAGCAGATACTTGGCCATCCTGCCAGGGATATACAGGGTGCTGTGCAAATACAGGAGGATGGGGCACCGACTTGTCCTTGGCAAGTCAGCCAAACCTTCCCAGATGATATTGGAGCAGGACCTTGCAGGATATATCAGAGTTTGCTGTATGGAGAAAGTAAGGAAGAGCACCTCAAGGCCTTGAGGACTTGTGAGGGTTTGAGCAACTGGGGTGCTCAGTCATTACACACAGCCTAACAAATAGTGGGACCAGGCTCGGCGCCTGTGGCTCAAGCGGCTAAGGCGCCAGCCACATACACCTAAGGTGGCGGGTTCGAATCCCCAGCCC